CCTCAAGCTGCCTCAGGTTGCGCTAACCTGGCAACTCTCAGGATGAGCATTTTTTATTGAAAATAGCTTGAAGACGCTAACCTAGAAACCAGTGCGTTGACCAATTCTTCCAGCTACCTTAGGTTTTCCTAGAGAAATACCGGTTCATGACCCCCCCCCCCCTGACCAAAATGTTTCCACGTTAGTGTCTTTTGAGGACCTTGTGGTTCAAACCAACTTACGCGGTGTTCCCCGGTAATAGGCTCCTTGCAGGTTTCCATGTTGGTTTGGCCTCGTAAATCACCAGATCCCACGGTGGTTAAGGAAAGTGTAACTACTACTGCTACTACTGCTGCTGCTACTACGACTGCTGCTGCTGCTACTACTGCCAGGACGACTACTGCTACTACTACTGCTACTACTACTCCCACTGCTACCACTCCTACTTCTACTACTACATACTACTGCTGCTGCTGCTGCTACTACAACAACAACTACTACTTCTTCTACTACTACTACTACCACCAGTCTGGCCATTGAGACAATTGGCAAATCTACCCAAATTTTCTCCAGTACATGGCGCAACATGACCTCTTATCCTGAAGATGTGTTGAGCCATCTATTGGCAGAAACCCGGTTACACACACATGAATTGAGCCATGTATAGCCTCGCTACTTTCTGCCTGGAGTTGCGCCATCCATTTTCATTCTGGTGTACTACTACTACTACTACTACTAGTAGTACTACTACTAGTACTACTACTAGTACTAGTGCTACTACTACTACTGCTACTACTGCTCCTGCTGCTGCTGCTGCTACTGCTACTGCTGCTGCTGCTGCTGCTACTCCTCCTACTACTACTACTATTATTATTACTACTACTACTACTCCTACTTCTTCTACTACTACTACTACTCCTGCTGCTGCTGCTGCTTACTGCGACCACTAGGACTACTGCTACCAAGGACTACCACTACCACCACCAACAACAACTACAACCACAATTGCAACTGCCACTACAATTGCCTGTTTGACAGCTTGATCATTTTTGTAAGGGAGTAGATTCCCTTCAAAGCACTTTGGAGGGATCCTTCTGCACTCTCCGGGCCAGGCGAGCTTGAAATCAGCTCCATCACCACCCATTGATGCACAGCCACCACCGCCATCAGAGGCCAATGCGTGTGACTTGTAAAGCAGAATTTGAGAAGCAGCCCGGTCAGATTCTTCAGCCTCGCTTCAACTCGTTTGATGCAGGCACCTCCCCCAGAGCCAGATGCTCAACCAATTCCCAAGGTGCGGTATCAAGTATTTTAGTGGAAGGGTCTTAGCCAAAATGCGACTTGCTTTTGTGTGGTCACAGGCGGAACCAAGCTTTGGGTAGTTGCTTGACAAACTGTAGTTCTCATGCACCAGGCTCGTCTACTCTCCTCTGCCACAGAGCGGGACACAGAGCTGGAGCCCAGCACTCATACTTGGTTCAGAGAGTCATCAAAGCAACGTGGAACAATTTAAGCATTGCAGGGTGCTGAACACTTTGAGCTGAGGGACTTTCTGACCAAAAACCGCATCTCTCCTGCCACGTCCTGCTATCATGTTGAACAGATGACTGTCAACGTCCTATTGTATCGACAGGGATGACAACGCTGTATGTCGTTGAACATGGCCCAGGTCTTTTCTCATGTTGAAGCTGACACGCGAGCAGGCTTGATCCAAATTCCTTGATTTGTCAAACTAGAATCTAGAACTCCAAAAATTCAAGACCCATGTGTAAGTTTGTTTATTTGGCCTCAGCGTTTTTGTTCGTATTGCAGTCAAATGATAGAAAATACTTTGTGCTTGGAGACTGTCCATATCGTAGACTTTTAGCTGTATTACCGATTGCAAGCATTCCGAGGCAGCCTTTGTCATGTCCAGCGTCTCCGAAGCTTTGGACAAGACTGGTGCATCAGAGCTTGCAAGGCGAAAAGACGACAGGGAATGTAGGATAGTGTTGCGCGGCCTATGCAGTGTGTCAACCAGAGCAGTCAGGTCTGGCCGATCTGCTGCCGAATCCTTGGTCCTCCAGCGGCTCAAGGCACTTCTATTTTGACCCAATTGACTCAATTGACCGTCTGAACCCTTGCATCTCATTTAGTCTCCTTGCATCTATTTTTGCAGGGTTTGGGTGTTCGCACCCACACTGGGGGTGGCTCCTGGACAAGCACAGAGCGCACTGCTTCGCCTGTTCCTCCTGCGCGGAGGCTCAATGAAGGCACAATATCGCGCGCGCTTTGGACTGCTCCGAACGAATGGACTCAGCGTAGCAGAGTCGCGTTCAGCCAGTCAAGGCATAATATGGTCTCCAAACACTGGGAAACTGCTGTCTCGGATCTCTCACCACAGCTGTTGCCTTACAGCTTTTCTACAAAAACCTACTTCCATCCTTGCCTAAGGGACAACCTCAGTTTGGCTTGTCTTCACCTTTTTTGCCAAACTTGAAATTGAACGGGAATCGCGCATGAACCTCAACTCAGTCTGCCAAGCTCTACCTTGGTGAACAAAGTCGTATTCAGAAACTGTGGGATTCAGAAACTATTTCGTTGTATTCAGAAACTATTTCGTCGTATTCAGAAACTATTTCGTCGTATTCAGAAACTATTTCGTTGTGTTCATAAACTATTTCGTTGTATTCAGAAACTATTTTCGTTGTATTCAGAAACTGTCGTTGTATTCAGAAACTATTGTCGTCGTATTCTGTAAAATAACAACAGTTGGTGGATACTTGCGTGGACAGTTGATGTGTTGTTTAGGATGAAGGGGTGGGGTCGGGGGCTGGGGGCAATAAACTTACCTTTGGTGGGCGCGTGGAAAGTTGATGCGTTCTCCAGTTTCCGCATACAACTGTTTATAAGTTTCCGAATGCAACTGTCCAGTTCCCGAACTTCACCATCCCAGTCTCCGAATACAACCATTTAATTTCCGAATGCCAGGTTCCGAATACTACGCTGGAATTTCCGAATACCAGCTTCCGAATACAACCGTGTAGTTTCCGAATACAACCATCCCAGTTTCCGAATACAACTGTTTAGTTTCTGAATACAACCGTTTAGTTTCCGAATACAACCCTGACCCTAATTGGTGCACTTCTCCCGTTTTGCCACATTGTTTTTTTTGTAAAGCTGCCATCTCGCTACCTTGCTGTTTATGACACCGAACTGTTACTGTGTATGACACCTGACTGTTTGGAGTTTGAAGGCAGAGATATATATATATATGGTACATATATATATATATATATGGTACCCTCCAAAAAAGAACAGACACTTTCATCAAATTTACTGGTAAAACACTGAAACGTGTTTTATGCATATTTGTGGGTATAAACATATAGTACAAAACAAAGCACTTTACAATTCAAAAAATACATCAAATAAGACAAATAAAAGATGTCTCCAATGACAAAACCAAAAAGCAATAAAACAACACTTTGAGGAGAATGTTTGGTTCAGCCTCAAAAGATATTTTTTGTTTTCAGTGTGTTTTAGTTTTTTGTTTTGAAATCCCAAAACACATTGTGTTTTTGTTCTTTTTTCAAGGTTTATGGTTGAAGAAGACTATCAAAAACAAAAACACAAGTGTTTTGTTTTTGATTGTTTCTTCGAGTAAAACCAAACATCAAGTACAAAAACCATAAAAGCACCTTTTGTTTTTTGTTTTTGGCTGTATGCTAGTACAAAAAACCTTCAAACAAGACACAGACACACACATATTTTTGGTTGTTGGATTTCAAAACCAAAAAACAAAAAACACAATGAAACCACACACACACACATCTTGCGGTCCACGATCCGCCCCTCACAGCCCTTCCACTAAGTGGGGTGCTAGAGGGCGTGACTATATCACAGATTCCCATATGAAATGACGCGTGCAAAGCGCAACTCAATGAACTGGTATAAGACACAGATCATGAGGAAAGGCGAATTAACGGCTACCGGAAGCTAATGGAAGCTACTCAGTCCACAACCAATTCATCGAGCGACTTCTTGAGGCGAATGTGTTTACGAACCTTTTGATAAAGGTTATGCCGAGCAGAAAAAGTTGGTTCAGTTGGTATATCCGGGAAACTCTGTGCAAAATCACGACACACTGAAAACGGCAACCGAACATTAAGGGGATATGGCTGTTCCGGAAGAGCAGAGTATTCCGCAAGGAGCTTAATGGCAATATCCGAATGAGGCGATTCAGGTCGAGCTGCCATACCTCCTACCAGGGTGGGGTGGAAACCTAAACGACCTAGCGATGAGGCACATGTCGTTTTCTTGTATCGAGGGAACAGGTGGCACTGCATGGTGCCTTCAAGATATCTTACGATGCCCCTTAAAGTGGAGGCCTGATGGCACAGAGCATGAGCGGACTTAGGCTGGATCGACGCTTCAGGAGAATCAAACTCATAAGGCTTATGAAGTTTGGTTTTAGGATCATATATATATATATATCCAAAGTGGAAGGCCTTTACCGGAAAATATGATGAAATGAATTGCCATGTAATGCCAAAATCGCCTGGAGTATTAGGTGCATCTGGATGCCGCCATTTTAGTGACGCGAAGGAACGCCAAACCATATGCGCAATCTGTGCTCCCGCATTACAGGCACGGGCAACCACCGGTAGTAGTGTATGTGTGACCTGCCAGGTTGGCGAAGACAATTGCCAGTGCGACAATTTATTACCAAAAGACTGAAGTGCATCAACATTATTGAATTGGTGATTTTCTGCAGCACTGTCAGGCTCTGAGAGTCGCAGTGACACATGCAGTTGGTTCAGGTCAGCCATGTACGAGTAAATGAGAAACAAAATGTGCATCTGGCACTGACTATGCGAGTGAATGTGGGAAACTGCAGTATGCATGGCGTCGATGTCTTGGTGATTCAAGAGCTTTGCGGTTTCATCTGCTAAATCGTTGCCAAGAATACCATACAAGTCACGCAGACATGTGGCTTCTGATTTATCACGATGGGATTTAACTTGATGGATATTGTATATTTCTGGATGCCAAGATTGCTTGAGACTACGAATCAAGTCATAATGTGCCATGTGAAAGTCACGGGACGTTAAAGTCCGGGACGCGATGGCTTGAACGATACGTACGGCAAAGGCAGAGTCAGTATACAAGTCCAGAGGACGTTCAGGAAAATGAAGTGAAAAATATCGCGCCGCCCATTCTTCTGTACCAGGCTCTCCACGATTAGTGGACTGCAATCCCTGTACATGAGATCCCTGGATGACAGCAAAGTCGTTCACGGAGGGATCATCCGGGGTAACAGACACGTGCTGGACAACTGTTCAAATCCCGGGGGCGATCACATGACCCATCTGTGTACAAATGAAAATGTGCAACGTCTGCCACAGGAGGATGATCTACGAAAGGACCAGCACGGTGAAGCTTAAGGCGATTGTATACAATTTGTTGAGAACGCGTGGATGTCAAAGGGAACCAAAGAAGATTCCTATGGGCACGCAAAGCTGCTACAGCATCAGGATGATTGTCCCGAATGTGCTGAAAATGAGGGCAATGCAGAAGCCGATGTGCATGTGTGTCATCTTGACCGCAAAAGTGGCGTGCAAGTTCCTGAGTGCTATCCCAAATTTGTTTAACCGCGCCCGTCTGGAAACCTCCCGTCAGATTGAGCGCGATCAATCGCAGTTTGGTTGTGGACAAACGCTTCAAGACCTTGTGTTGCGTGTAGGCATCAAAGGGGACATCAAGAACACCTTTGCGATGGCTTATTTGGGACCATACATAGGTAGACCAAGCATGCCGCAGTGTATGGCGGATCTCAGGAGTAGAGTAGACTGAACTTGAAGATCGACTCGATAGCCGCAAGGAGTTTCAATCAAGCCATCTGGAAGAGGAACCCAGTTAACTTTACGAAGGTAGGCTGCTAAGGCCCCGCAACCGGTGACCGAAGACGAAGTCATGACAGATGACCACATGTCCTGGGCTAAGTCATAGTGATAGAAGAACAAACGCCGAAACGAGCACAAAGCCGTCAAAATGACATATAGAAGTTTGTCAGAGACTCGGTCAGTGAGAAAGTGAAGAGCAATCCAGGACGAGGCAAACTTATGTTTACCCACCAGAGCGTCGCAGGCCAGACGCCGCAACTTCACAAAATGACTCCCCCCAATCACTTGACTCTCGGCCCTATAAAAAGCCACAGGCCAGATTGCGGCCTGAATTTTAGCGGCTTTTTCAGGGATGGTCAGATGGAGTTTACTCAGGCGGTAAAGCCCCGTAGCAGCGGCAGCCATACGGGTTTTAAGACATCCCAGAGTGACGCGTCGTGTATAGTGCATCATACAGCCTAAGTCTTTAGATGATTGCTTCACCGCGATTTCAATATTGCCGGATACAGTATATGCATTTGGGACCAAAAAGTACGCATAGATAAGTCGGTTCCCCAGCCCCATGACTTTTGAATATCCACTTTCATTCGAAGCGAAGATGTAAAGTTGAGAGTAGCGACCATAGCACGGAACAGGGCCCGTTGGGAAGTCGACGTAAATGTCCACTTATCAGCGTACGTGAAGGGCTGGACCTGGATTGAGGACATCTTGTGAAAGAAGGCTGCTGCGATTACCAGCATGGCGCACACAGAGAGGGCGTCTCCTTCGGGGGCCCCAGTGGTTGACAGGGAAGGCATACCACAGGCCTGTCGGATCTGCAGGAACCGTCCCATGTTGTTAAGGGAGCGAACCCAAAAGCCAACAGCTTGTTCAGAAGCGCCAAAGTGAACTAAAAGGGACAAAGCAATCTGTCTTGGAATGAGATTGAAAGCTTTGACCAAGTCAAGAGTGAAGCGGGTATGGGTGGCGTGGGCTTTTTCTAGCATGTACTGCTAGCGCGGAAAGGGAGTCCACCTGCGATTCGTGGATCCCAGGACTGACCCCAGGAGTGCAAAAGCTGATCAGCAATCATTTTTGACGCAAGACGAGGGATGTAGCCTAGAATGGTAATAGGCCGCCCATCGGAAAAAGTCTCGGGGACAGGGATCTTTGCCAGGAGGATTGTGCGAGCAAGCATTTGTGCAGACGTAAATTGTGTGGGCCAGATAGACGAGAAGATAAGTGCAAGGTGACGAATAGCCGACCACGGCAAAAGCTTGAGTTCCTGGGCGCACCATCCATCCACGCCCGGAGCCATGCTTGGGCGCTGAAGTCACTGAATGGATTTGAGCGCCCTGGCTAAGAATGGGTTCATGCGCCAATGTGATCGCGCATTTGCCGATTATTAATGCAGGTCAACTCGACCTTTGTTCATCATGATGTTTAATGCATAGGTCACCACTTTCCAAGGCTATCCTGCCACGGCTACAGGGATGGCAAGTTGATTTGGCTGGCCTGGATGGATCGCGGGCTGGTATCGCAAGAGGAGATAGCCGAGTGGCATTTCGGAGGCTACACAAGGGTTTCCGAGTTAAATTCCAAGGATCCTACTGTAGGCGTTCTATGTTTCCTAGGCTGCACAAGGGTTTCCGAGTTATATAAATTCCAAGGTTCCCACTGTAGGCATTCTATGTTTCCTTTTGGGTTTGCTGCTGCACTATATAAGTTTTCTTGCAAGGAGAATTTCAGAATGGAAAACAAATCAGAATTACTCTAATATGAAGGTATGCATTTTCCATGAGCGCCTTCTCGTATTGACAGGATCGATGAAAGATCTGAATGCGCACACCAAACGGGCTCGCGGTTCAATGTCACGACTTCTTAGCCTACAGACGGTGCCAGACATGACTCCCGACCTTGAACGGTTGGAGAAGTTGAAGTCTTTGCGGGACACCTTGCTGCCTGGAGAGACTGAGATCGTATGGGCCGTGCAAAGTGGTGACGAGCACACACGGCAAGCGCTTCCTCGCTGGATAGGGGAAGCCATGGGCAAACTGATTTTGAAGTGGGCAGATGAAAAAGTGAGATGGGACCAGACTCGGGCTGAGCGAGAGATGCGTGGGAAACAGCTCACGGCTTGTCAGCAGAAGAGATTCGATGAATTCCAGCGGACAAGTGAGATCAAGCTTCTCTTCAACCGGCAAGAGCAAAAGGTTGTGCCCAGGCTCAAAAGTGCTGCGGAGTTGCGGTTGGTCCACGAAACCATGTTCTCCCTTCAAATCACACTGGAGGGGGCTCCAGACCAGCTAACTGTCAGGGCTGGGAGTGGGGAGGCGCTGCCACTGGTAATGCTTCGCGGAGAACCTCTTGTTGGTGAGACAGCGCTTCCAGGTGCCTTCGCTGGAGGGGTGGCTGATGAAGTCCTTGAGGTTTGGCAGGAGGTCGAGCCGGAGCTAGAACATGTGGAGGAAGGCGTTGACGAGCAGGCGGAATTGCAGGAATTCATGCAGGAGGACGACATTCAAGAGTTCATGGCTCAAACCTCTGATGAGGAAGAGATTCGGAAGGTTGCATCAGGTCCGTTTGTCCGGGTGAAGGACTTTTGCGCCCGCCAAGCCTTTCGGAACTTGGATGCAAAGGGCCTCACAATAATCCCAGTCCATATCGGAGGTGTGTTTTTGTCATACCACAAAGGGTCTAGGACCTGGCAGGGCTCGTATGCAAGCAAGGGATGTTGCTTCTCGCACGGTGGCAGTAGTACCAACAGAGCCTCAGCTTCTTTATGGGTGGCATTCTAAGTTTTAGTTGTTATGTGTTTTTTCTTGCAAGTGAGGCGTATGCAATTGTATACATGTTCTATCTGTATTTTTTGCTATTTAAAAAATAATATATATATATCTATATATATATATATATTTAAAGGCTTACGCCTAACAGCCGGGCGCCGGCCCACTTGGGTCTGTGGGGCGTATGTCACACCTATGTTGGCCTTGGTGGGGCCTATATTGAATAAAGTTAAGCTATTTGGTGCGCATCTTGGCCCTAGGTTGGGCCAAGTTGGACCCATGTGGTCTATGTTGGGCACATCTTGGGCCCATGTTGAGCCTATGTTGGGCTTATGTTGGCCTATGTTAGGCCTATGTTGGCCTATGTTGGCCTAGGTTGGGCCTATGTTGGGCCTATGTTGGCCCCAGGTTGGCCCCGTGTTGGCTCTTGGGCCCATGTTGAGCCTATGTTGGGCCTATGTTGGCCTATGTTAGGCCTATGTTGGCCTAGGTTGGGCCTATGTTGGGCCTATGTTGGCGTACGTTGGCCCCAGGTTGGCCTATGTTGGCTCTATGTTGAGCCATCTTGGAGGCTATGTTGGGCATATGATATGTTGGCTATCTTGAGCGGGATATGTTAGGCAATTTATGTTGAAAAAATCTTCCGATACAACTTTTGACGATTTTTCCTTCCCGCAAAGCAAAAACACTGGAAAAACCTGTGTTTTTTGACATCGCCAAGATGAAATTCTCGGCCGCCGAGGGGCGCAAAACCCTGTAAAACACGAGGTTTTTGAACATCGCGCGCAAAAAATACTGTAAATTACAGCGACTTCAGTGAACAGGAAGTGACGAGGGGGTCCCCCCGTTTTGGGAACGAGGGTCGGCGGTGGGTCGGCGGCAGGGGGCGCGCCCGTCTATAACCTTCGGTTACCACCGAAGGCCCTCCGGGCAGGGCGCGGGCTTCGTGGCCGGCGCCCGGATTTACCAGGCTACCGCCTGCAGCCGCCGACCCCAAGGGAAAATGTAGTGGCAGGGTTGGGTCCCGGGCGGCGCAGACCATAGGCGCTAGCAGGAACCCGAAGCCCGGCAGAGCATGAAAGGCATGAGTACAACAATGGAAGAACATAGGTTAGCAATTTGCGGGGGACATCTGGGAACCCAAAAACAAGAGAAAATGTTCTGAAAAGCACACGAATCCACCCGAAAACGTAACAAAATCTAGACAAAGCCAAAGGCATTCCTACAAAAATGCTGGAAAAGCCTTTGAAAATCTTACAAATCAACCAGAAAATGTGACAAAATCTAGGAAAAATCAAGGGTATAGGCATAAGTACAACAATGGAATAAAATAGGTTAGCAATAGGTTAGCAATTTTTGGGGGAAATCTGGGAACCCAAAAACAAGAGGAAATGCTAGAAAATCCTTTGAAAATCATACAAATCCAGCCGAAAACGTAACAAAATCTTTCCTAGGAAAATGCTGGAAAAGCCTTTGAAAATCCCACAAATCCAACGAAAAAGACAACAAAATCTAGGAAAAAACAGGGCATTGGCCGGGACCACGCCGCGACCAGCCCGGGATTCGAGCCCGGGACCATTTTGGACCGTGCTTATTTTCCCGCGCGGGTGGAGAGGGTGCCCCAAGATGTAAATCAATTGGGATGGCAGAATTTTGGACAATCCACGTCACCATTTTGCAACAAGGCTCCGGAGGGGTAGGGGAGGTAAGGCTAAGTCTAAGGCTAAGGATAAGGCTAAGGCTAAGGTCTAAGGCTAAGGCTAAGGCCAAGGCTAAGGCTAAGGTCGGCCATAGTATATTTTTCTCCTGTAGGGGAGGAAGTATCTGTGTGTTTGCAATGATGGTAGCTGCTGATGGCATTCAAGGAAGCGAGGCAGAGGCCCTCCTCAAAGCGGTCCAAAGCATATTGGAACGCTACCATGAGGACCATCCAAAAGACGGCGTGTGGTGCCGTCAGTTGGACAGGGTCCTGGCAGTGCAAGCCAAGGGAGAGGTATGAGCTCCCTTGAGGAATCCAAAGTAATCCAAGTGCACGCGAGCAGCGCTGAATTTAGAATGTTTTCGAGTGCCTTCACGACCATAGATGCCTTTGACCTGTGGAAGGCCATAGATCAAGTTCAAACATACGAGATGCGGGAATTGGGAAAAGTGGCTGAGTTCTGTGGATTTGTGCATGATCGGAGTTGACAACGTTCAGACGTTCAGAGTGTTTGTATATATAGATACACATAGATAGAGGGAGAGAGAGAGGGAGAGAGCACATAGAAAGAGACTCCTTATTTCATTTTTGCTATTGCGGACTGAAACATAGAATGCCTCCGGTAGAAATATAGGGAGGCATTCTAAAATACCCCCTTCGAACACCATTTGGCGGCACTCTAAAATACTACTTTTTTTTTGGAAAAATGGCTGGCATTCTATGTTTCAGTCCGTCGGTATAGATAGATAGATAGATAGATATATTTTCACATTTTCTGATTTTGCACAAGCGCTCAACTGGGATTTTCTACGCAGTCTGAGGCAGCAGAACGCATCAAAAGAGCCGAGGCAGCAGCCGAGGCATCTCGGGAGAAGGAAGGCAGGCTTGATTTGCGAAAGACTTGTCTCAATCTGTGAACAGCCCAAGCTTTGGCGAGTTTGTCAGGCATCAGTCTAGGTCTTGACCTGCCAAGCGTGGATGGCTTACTAGGCGCGACATGAGAGTAGTTGTTGGAAAGAAAACCGGCGCCGCCCAAAGAGCAGTAGAAAGTTGGACTTGCGAGTTGAGAGTTGGGAGGTTCTGCGTTGGTTGATTTGGAGGCTGCTGAGGCAAGTGCACAATTGCATCGAAGATCTTTGCATCACAAACTTGGAAGGTTCATGAGAGCTTGGCAGAGGAGGAACGCCAGGAACGCGGAACTCATTCTGCAGCGCACGAGGCAGAACCACAGCCTGCAGAGGACCGATATCACTGTCAGTGAGAGTTAAGCCTGTGATATACTTGTACGTGCGGCAGTTGCACTAGTACCGCGCCTTACATTAGCTGCGGGAATGGCACCCCTACACTGCCCCTGCTCATAATTGGCCCTTGTGTTCATCAAGCGGTGCTTTTCACCCGCAAGCTCCCTCTTCATGTTTTAGTCAACAAGGTCTGGCCAGTAATAAGAATCGCTTCTTGTGTGCTTTTCAAGCTCTGCCTGTTGCCTTTTTCGATCAGGACCATGAGGCTATCAAGGAAGGCCCAAAAGGCTAGCGCCTGATGCTGCTGAGAACTGCTGCTCACTTATTGTGTCAAGCTTGAACGACATACCAGCTTGGAGTCTTCAAAGTTTCGCACTTTCGCAGATCTTCTTTGATCTTTGGGGTTTGCAGGTGAGCCGGAGCAGATGCCAGAGGGGGAACCCAACGTGCGCCCTAGCTGCTGAATGCCTCCAGAAATTGAACAGGCTGTTGACATTTGTCTTCAGCCTTTGAAGCCTGGCCAGGCAGATACCACTCCAAGCATGTTGCGTCGTTTGCTCAGCTTGTGGCCTGACATTCAGAACCACTTGTGCATTTGGCAAGGCCAGAAGCTATCTGCGCCTCAAGGTTGCCAGGCCTTGCAAGTCAATTTGCAGATGTGGTCTCAGCACCTTGCCCAAGCAACTACAGCTCATTTGACAGTTTGACAATCTGCGAGGGTGCACATACATGGGCTGGTAAGTGATCGGTGGTAATCGGTTTCAGGTCTCGATTTCTGGTGTTCGATTTTGCGGGCTTACATATTCCTTGCCAGCTTTTTGTTTTTGTGCAAATTTCCTTGTTGCATTTGCTTCTGTGCTTCTCTGCTTTTCTTGGTTTCATTAACTTTTGGCAAAGCACCTTGTAGCAAGTGTGGGCGCGCATAAGTTACTCAGGGACTGTATAATTTTTCAGACAAGCCTGTTCCCTCAGCAAATAAGCAAAGCAAAGTGCCAGGCGATCCGAGGCAGCCAGCTAGTCAAACAATCAAGCAAGCGAAGCATAAGAGCAAATTGGAGCCAAGGGACACACAAGGAAGGAAGGGGTTGACACCAGGACTACTCACCGCAGCACTTCCCGAGTTAAGCCCAGATCTATCTATATCTAAACTGGCGAATTCCACAAGACGCTTCCTGTATATAGGTTGCTTGCAGGTTTTTGTAAAGAACTTGGACAAGACCACGGGAGAGCGTGAGCTTCGAGATCTTTTTGGCAGGCTTTGACCATGATTGCCGTGTTTTTGTATGCAGAAAGTGATTGGACAGGCATGGCACCATTTGTGATGTGGAGATTGCCACGGAGGAAGGCACACGCCAAACACTGAGCTTGCAACCTTTGCATCCAAGCGACCAGGGCAGAAAAGAACAAACAGTATCCGGATATGTCCGGTCTGTTCAAGGTGATTATGAAGTGTATACAATTTGCGATTGCTTCAGAACTCTTGGTTGAGGTGTTGGCAAAGGCTTTGCGATTGTTGCGATGTCCAGCAAAAGGGAGGCATGGTCTGTTCATTTCCTTACAGTGTGTTGTTCTGGCTGCTACATGCACAAAGGCAGCTGCTTGTAAAATCTTGTAAAGAAGAACATGTTTGACGTACATTTGAGTATTTTTGGGCGCACACCAAGTGCAAATGCGTCGATTGAGCCTTTTAAGGCAGTACTGGTAGGACATTTACTTGGTGCTGGGTCACCTCAATGGTGTGGGACATGGGGATACAATTCTGTGTTGAACAAAGTGTGGCAGCAGCTCTGAGGGCTTTAAGGGGGGAGTCCTTTCAAAAGAAAGGATGTAACGTCCTTGCTCCTAGTAGCAAGGCCAGGAGCCCCTAGTAGCGTCCTTGCTCCTAGTAGTAAGGGCAGCAGCCCCTTGGAAACTTCTTGTTACTAGTTAAGTTTCCCTAAAAATCTCGGCACCAAATCATTACGAGCGCTTCTTCAAGGAAGCTCCCATGAAGAAGCGTGAGCTATCCTGCGTCCAGTTACTAGAAGCTTAAGTAGCTAGAAGCTTACTCCCTTACTTTCTTAAGTAGGCACCTACTTACTTACATAAGGAGGCAGGGCCGGGCCAGGGGCCAAAAAACATACACACACACACATACACATTGTGGCGGCATCAACTTTCTGTATTTGGCTCAAACATGTGAGAATTCGAGGGCAATGGGGTGTGTCGGGTTTGTCTCGGTTGCTCTAATTGTGTGTGCGCGTGCAGAAGATCCTATCAGCTGCCCTGTGGTGCTACCAATATAACTTTTCGACTCATGTGCTGCATTGATTGTGTTTAGGCAAAACAGTGCGTGAAAGCCTTGAATTTCACGAAGCCGTGCCAAACTCAATTTGTACAGCACACTCAGTACACATCCTACGAATTAGCGACCTCTGTCTGTTTTCTGTTAACAAATCGTTCGGAGACATTGAGGTGGGGCCGTGCTCTGATAGTGGAACGAGAGGACGGCATTGAGGAGCGAAGTTTCAAGCGAGCAAAGATTCAGCAACTGAAGTGTGACAGTACTGTGCTTTGGAGAATTGAATCAATTGGTGTTTTTGAGATTGTACAATTGGGTGGTTTCCTGGTGTCTCGGTCATGGTGTCTCGGTCATGTTTTGGTGGTGTCTTGGTTATGTCTTGGTGGTGTCTTGTGCAAACGTGTATCTTCCCTGGAGCCAATACTTATACAAAGTTTGTTCTCTTTGACAGCTGCATTCATTGTACCCTTCGAACATAAATCGTGTTTTCCTACTTGAATGCCTTTTCTTGCCACTTTGGTGTTCAGTTTTTGTTGTTACTAGATGAATGTATACCCTTTCCTCTGTCCAAATGGAAATTGTGTGCACAGATCTATGATCTATATATATAGACACCTATCTTCCTTGGTGCGAATCCTTGGTCGGGCTGTATTGAATGGGTTCTTCAGATGTATATATAGAGTATGGGCAGGCACTTGAACATACACTTCGGCACTCCGCGAACATTCCTCAAGTGCTTCACGGTCGATGGAACTCCAGAACATACACTTTGCCTGGATTGGATATTGAACTTGTTTGTTTTGTACAAACTATTTATGTGAATGCAGCATGCATTTCAATATTTTGCTTGTGGGGGAACACTGGTCTCGATATTCGGAGAGCCAACGTGCAACTGACGCAGAAAAACGCCAGATCTTGGTGGATGCTTTGCTATTGGGTTTTCAGTTGGGTTGATTTTCTGCTCTTTGATGTGTTGAATGACAGGATTCACCATCCCGCAGTGCCAGTGGGGAAGACAAAGGTTCGCAGGCCGTTTGCGCAGCTGCTCCATTTTGCCAATTTGCAAATAAATTGCATGTGGGTGATTTGTATGTTTTGGAATTAGGTATAATCTTTCCGACTGCAGCTTCATCTTGAGGCCGACAAAGTCGTGAAGCCACCGGAAAAGTCCCCTGGTCAGGTGATTTGCCCGTCGCTTGCTTTCCTCCTCCAAGAATCACAGTGTCAAACGGTCATGCTCGATGCCACGATATGCACAAATACCGCTTGATGTGTTTTTTGTCAGGACGTGAAGCGTCATAGCCCCATGCTTGGCTGTGCATTGTGCACTGTTTAGCACAGGTCTTTCTAAAACTTTGTAACAGTGACCTAGATGTTGTGTTCTCCGATTCAAGGGATTTATTTATTAGTATGGGTCAGCTGGATTAGGTAGCAGAAGCAAAAGTCGCAGTCGCTCTGAAAGTGGCGCCTTGGCATTGTTTTTACATGATTTTCAAGTCAGACACTGAGTTATTTGGTTTTCTATCAGGGTGGAGCCGCTACACCATTGAGGGCAAGGGGCGCCGCTCGAGGACAGTGCTCCAGTTTCAGTGCTCCAGTTTGCGAGTGCTTTCAGCTGTCGTGTTCTCAGAGCGTGATGGTGGGAGGGGCCGCTGGCGGAGCTCGCGAAGGAAACATGAGAGACGAAGTACCTTGGCAGTGAATTCAAATAAGGGATCATTTGCGGCAGTTTCCTCAGCGCGGCACATGCTTTAAGTGCTTTTCTTTGTCAAAGGTAAAACCAAAAGGAGGTCAAGAGCGAAGTCATCCAGGCTCTTTGGTGCGAAAGATATGCAATCCATAGGCATCATTGTTCTGTGAATCGCCCTCGCACAGGTTTCAGTGAGATTAGGAACATATTTTCTTTGCAGACGATCACAAATGTGTCACACAACTACTTTAATTCTGTGTCATCCATTGCGAATGATAATAGTACTGTAAAAGAGTGTGTGTGTGAGGTCTATAAGCAAAAAGTCTAGAGATCCAGACGCATTGGGGTCCAGAGAGGTGATGGTGGTGATGAAGGTGGGGATCGTGGTGACGGTGGCGGGAGTGAGAGTGGAGAGTGAGAGTGAGAGTGAGAGTGAGAGTGAGAGTGAGAGTGAGAGTGTGAGTGTGAGTGTGAGTGTGAGTGTGAGTGAGTGAGTGAGTGAGTGAGAGAGTGAGAGAGTGAGAGAATGACAGAGTGAGAGAGTGAGAGAGTGAGTGTGTGTGTGTGTGTGAGTGTGAGTGTGAGAGTGAGAGTGAGTGTGAGCGAGAGTGGGAGAGTGAGTGAGTTTGAGTGCGAGTGTGAGCGAGAGTGAGAGTGAGAGTGAGTGTGGGTGAGAGTGAGTGTGGGTGAGAGCGAGAGTGTAAGGGAGTGTGAGTGAGAGTGGGAGAGTGAGTGAGTGTGAGTGTGAGTGGGAGAGTGAGAGTGAGAGTGAGAGTGAGTGAGAGTGAGAGTGAGAGTGAGTGTGAGTGGGTGTGAGTGGGAGTGAAGGTGGGTGTGGGTGAGTGTGTGTGAGAGTGGGTGTGAGTGGGAGTGGGGGAGTGAGTGTGAGTGTGAGTGTGAGTGTGTGCGAGTGTGAGCGAGAGTCGCAGTGCGTGTGTGAGTGTGAGTGTGAGCGTGTGTGAGTGAGAGAGAGTGAGAGAGTGAGCGTGTGAGAGCACAAAGTGCTGCGCCTGCGCTGAAATCTGTGCTTCGATGTTCACAAAAGTACTGCGCCTGCCACAAAATCCGCGCTTCGAGGTTCACCAAGTGCTGCGCCTGCCACGAAATCTGCACTTCGAGGTTCACTAACTATTGTTCCTGCAACGAAATCTGCACTTCGAGGTTCATAGCAGCGAATTAGCCGCACACGCCCGCGCGCCCCAGCGGTCTAAGCACAGCTGCTTTTCACTCACCGTAAGAAACCCTGAGTGTGTCCACACTGTTTGGGGAAAACAAGAAGAAGAGGAAGAAGCAGAAGCAGAAGCAGAAGGAGAAGGGGAAGGAAGCGGAGAAGGAGAAGGAAAAGGATTCTCTTTGTGAGTCTTGGAGGGATATCCAAGAATGTACAAGTAGAGTAGACCAAGCGCGACTGCACAAATAAACCTAGGAATGGATTTCTGTCTGAATGCAGATGTAAGGCTTGATGCAAGTCAAGTCTAAAGGGCTATAATAAGGCTATAGGCATGGACCAGTTGAGATTTCGAGACAGCTGCAAAAGAATGAGCACACATACATATAGCATGGAGTTGGAAGTTGAATTCGCAACTGTTGTATGTTTTTCTTTTTGTCGTGCAGGGCCAACAAAGGCTTTTAATGCGTTGTCAACATAGTGAGAAGCATCCAGCCCAGCCAAAAGGATTCGGAGCACCGAAATGAGGTCTTTCGATCTAGGTTATACAATATGGTGTGATGTTTGTCCTCCAGTGCCAGGTCTCGTTCATCAAAGGGACGCTCAGACTCGCGCTCATCCTCTGGTTCCAGGTAGCGATTTCAAAAGTCAAGTCTGTATGCTTGCTAATGTGTTCCATCGTTCCGTCTTGTTCTTGAAACAGCTTAAAACACATCTCGGATCCGAGTGGATGTTGCGATATCAGGGCCAATTGCTAGCATTGCCTTTGGGCCTAGCAAACCCATCACGAATAAAGAGATGAACAAAGGAATGTAAGGGCCTTCAAAGTGGGATTCTAAACCTTGTCTATACCTTGCCTTTCCTCTTTTCATCTCTTTTCATATTTTTCTTTTGCCCTGCCTTGCTTCCCCTTGGAAACTCTTTTCATCTTTTTGTGCAAGTTTGGAGGTCACACTCGCGATCCAAGCGACGCAAAGACCGGACTCGGCGCCGCCGGGACCGAGAGCGACACCGAGACCGGGAAAAAGAGGCGACATGCGTGGCTTTGGTTTCTTTCAACTGTTGTGAAAAGAAGACTGTTGTGAATGAACATCATTTTGTTCAATTGTAGTGGCATAGAATTTGCGATGTTTTCGATTTTTCTTCAAGCTCTTCGTAAGGCGTTTGACTTGTTTCCATCATCTCCCTTGATTCAATTGCCTCGTTATGCTTCATTAGCTATCGCGAGCTGCGCCAGGGAATCCCTTCTATGGGCAGTGACCTTGGTGACGACAGCATTTTGTTGAGCTTGTTCCTTGAGTCTCTCCAGGCTGGCCAGGAGCTCCTCCATTTATGCCACCTATGCCAGGTCAACATTTCTTGTTCTTTTTTTATTCTGGAGCTTCTCTTGAACACCTTCATTGGAAAGGCAATAAGTATATAATAAGTTTTACTTTGGTGAGGAATTTCCGATTTTGATCTCGAACGCCAGCCATTTCTCTATTTGATCAGGGATGCCAATGATGCCACCTCCCTGGGTACCAACCCTGGCAAAAAGGAGGACAGTAGACGAAGAAGAATTGAAGTTATGTGACCGAGGCGGTACCTCCTTGGGGCATGCCACTAATGGAGCACAAGGGCTTTCCAGCTTATGATGCTGAGGAGATCTCTCAGAAGGGCGGGAAAGAGTATCGTTCCATGATGAATGTGGAAAGATCCGACCACAATGAGTCACCAGGAAGCAGAACGGCAACTCCGGAAGGCTGAAAAGGCCGCAAGGAAGGAAGAGCACCGGAGGTGCAGCTAAGACAACAGTTTAATTAAGTCAATATTGTCTTCTGCTTGTGGCTTGCAGCCAGGCAAAAACATGAAGAAGAGAAAGAGAAGACACAGGCGGAAGTCAAAGAGGGATCAGCATGATTTCTACACATCATTTTGACTGAAAGGTCTGGGAAGACCACCCTGCGCGGGTGGCACAAAAGAAGTCAACAGCCTAGGAGCCCAAATAGCCAAACAAAGCTGTGCAACAGAGCAAGAAGACCATACAAAGAAGTAATATCGATTGGTTGGAATCGGGACCACCGAGATTTCAATCGATCAAATCAATAGGTGTCCGGATTGTTTGCTCGAGGCATTCCACTTCCAGGCCCCTTTGTGATTGCGCTGGTCATATTGGTGATACTGTAAGTCTGCTTAATTTTGCAAATGGATTCGCGCTGTTTTTGAACATCTGGAACTTCGTAGCCGTTGGCCCAAAACAAAGCTCAGTGGGCTTTTGACCTTCACTGCTTTGCAGCCATGGCCAGGCGTGCCGTTGGAGAAGCCTATAGGGCATTTATATATAGAGAGCGGGTGGTCATGGGGCCTGGGTTTTGGTTTTCCCCAAATTTTAGGTAAATGCTTCAGTGGCAGCCCCTCTCCATATAAACACACATATCTATTTTTGCTCTCACTCTATACGAACAAATATATTATGTATTCCTGAGTCAGGGAAATTTTATTGTTTTGGAAGCAGCACTCAATCATTCAGATGGTTTTGAACAAGATAATTAGAAAAGAAGCAGGCCATAAAAGTGGTCGTTTTAACCATTGTCCTCTAGATCTCTGCTTATAGTTATATTTTGATTTGGAAAGATTGTATATAGACGCTTGTATGTTATAAAAGATTCTCTATAGTAGATCTCTGCAGATAATCATGTTTAGATTTAAACAACTATATAGAAACCTTGTTGTTTAAAAGCTTTCTTCTAGATTTCTGCGGGCAAGAGCTTGCATTTTCAAAGCTTTCCTCAGGATCTCCGGGAAAGTAGATATCCCACATATATATATGTATATATGTGTTTTCATGAAAGGAAAGCTCTTGAAAGAAAGACTTATTTATTGATATATAGCACGACCATTTCCAGAGATCCAGGGGAAAGCTTTTGAAATGAAAGCTAAATATAGTTTTATTGTAGAAATGATCATCCCCAGAGATCTAGAGGGAAGCTCTTGAATTAGAAGCTTGTACATACAACATGTTTAATATGTATATATTATCTCCAATGATTACTGACAATAAATAAATCTAACTATTTACTCCCAAAAAGAGTTTTAGTCTTGTTCCCAGCACTTCCACAGCAAAAAATACTGTAAAACACGGGGTTTTGTAGCATGTGTTCTCTTAAACTAAATAGACTAGAGCTAGAATAGAATTAGGTAGAATTAAATTGGATTTGAGTTAGAGCTAAGATAGAACTGAATCAAAACCGAATTTTAACTAAACTTGTATTGAACTATAACTATAGCCTAATTGAAATTAGATGAAAGTTGAATTTGAAAGGAATTGAAATTAAAATTAGAAGTTCGCCAGAATAAGATGTAAACGCTTGAGCTACAAGCACAGAAGTACGCTCGCAAAGATTTCCAACCGTTTCATGTAAAGGACAGAGTGTCCTCGCAACTGCATGTCAAGCTGTTTGGAAATGCAAGTGGCAACCGCATTGATACCAGTCAGCAGTTAATGCACTCAGACTTGTATATGGAGATTTGGACAAGGACAAAGGAAGTGTTGAGCTCAGACGGTTTCAGATGTAAGCAAAAAGAACAGATGCCTTGAGGTGAGAAGTAAGCTCAGATGCTAAACCAAAAAACCTTGAGAAAACAAAAAATAAAAAACATTCTGAGAGACTCTTGCTTGGACCCCCCAAAATCAGAAGAATCAGAAAACCAAAATAACCTTGGGAAAACCAAAAAAACCCAAAAAACAAAAAAACCAATTCTGGGGAAGTCTTGAGGAAAAGGGGGTCCAGCCAAGAGTCTCTGAGAATTGTTTTTTTGTTTTTTTAGGTTTTTTTGGTTTTCCCAAGGTTTTTTTGTTTTTTTGTTTTTCTGATTTTGGGGGGTCCAGCCAAGAGTCTCCCAGAATTGTTCTTTTTTGTTTTTTGTTTTCTTAAGGCTTTTTTAGTTCTTTTTTGGTTTTTATCCTGTATGCATATTTATCAGTGTTTTTTGGTTTTGATTGTGGCACTCCTTTATGCATATTTATCAGTGTTTTTTGGTTTTGATTGTGGCACTGATGCATTTACCTAATATTCATGAACATTTGGGGAAAACCAAAACCCAGGCCCCATGGCCACCCCTTCTGTATATATATATATAGATATGTAATATATGAATGTGGATATTGGACAATGTCCAAGCTACTTGAGCAGGTCTAGTGGACTTTGAAGTGCCAACCCGGTATATACATTCCTAGTTTGGGAGAATGCCAAATCTTGATGCCAGATGACATCAGGCCTTTGGTGAAATAGCCTGTGCCACTCGTTCCTTTTGAGTACCCGCAGCATTTGGCATTTTTGAGCACGGTCACTGACCTCAGGCGCAAAAGCCAAAGCACAAGGTTTGAGGTTTTTACGCCCGAAGCTACGAGTAACAAGCTGCTACTGGTAGTAACAAGAAGCTACTAGGGGCTCCTGGCCTTACTACTAGGAGCAAGGACGCTACTAGGAACAAAGGGCATCGCTGCTAGTAACAAGGTGCTTTTTTTTTGTGTTGTCAGGCTTCACCGCTCGAGGCCACTTAGTGCTCCGATGTTGCTCTTGCTTTTGCGAAAGATACTCAGTGGGGCTGACGATGAAGGTACGTTACTCGCAGCCCTATTGCTTGCAGCAAGTTGGAAGGTTCGGCCAAAGAAAAGGAACACTTGAAAAGAAACTGGAGCATAGAGCTTTTGCAGGTTGCATCTCTGTCTGGACCTTGCTCCGTCGTACTGGAGGACCTCCAGCTATTCTTGAAAAACATCACCAATGAGCACTGTCTTGTCAAGGAGGTCATGACACCGCCTCCAGAGTCAGTCGAGCCACCCTCCCTCAAGGCAACCGGAACATGAAGGTGATGTTGGAACAGCCAAGTATCAGGAAGTCGAAACTATTTGAACACGACCTTTGGACAGTTCAGGGACTGAGATTGACATTTGTAGAGGTCTTGATGCGTCGCTTCACGCAGCCCGTCAAGATGGCTGGTTTTCCAACAGTCTTTGAGACCAAAATTGAAACAGAGAGCTGGATTGGCAAGATGTTTTGTGCTTGCCAGGCATCGAACGAGTTTTGGTACCAACAGTACGACACCAATGCCGTTGGCGAGTGCGCAAAGTTTTGTCGTTTTGCAACTTCAGAAAGGTTTTGGAAGAACAAAGCATGGCTGGTTAGACCTCAGTGTGTAGCTCAAATGCTTGGCAGGGCTTGGCATGGTTCCCGTCACTGGGTGGATCGCGCTGGTGTTGGTCAGCACATTCCTCGGCTTACCTTACATGTAATTATAGTAATTCTAGTACTGATGAGTGACAGCGATGTGGCCTTTGGGACACTGAGTTTGTCTAGTCTCCCTAATGTGCTGAAGTCGAAATGATCCCATATGCTCCCAACTTCAGAGTCTAAGTGACTTCAATCTCAAAGAGTGAAGGTCGTCGTGGCAGCTAGTTCACTTGGCACATGCAATCTATGACCTAGGACTGCTCAAGAGTTGGAGCAGCAGCTGGCGTCCACCCGTAGAATCCTCAAACTCAGTCATCGGGGTTGGAGCAAGGACGTTGAGAGATCGTGGCTGGCCATGACGTTAGACACTAAGAACCGCAAAGTCTGTCAATGTATTTAATTAGGCCAAACGTCTATAATCAAAAAACATAGATAAAGGGGTCGAAAGTAGCTTCTGATGTTGTTTTTTCAATTAGATTATGTAGCGGGCCCCCATTTTTTCTTAGCAGCTACTTTTCAAAACCTGACGACCTTCTGAACATGTCCTAAGTCAATCACTAGCGCAAGTCTACCGCAAACCTAGCGCCCAGCTGCAGAATAGATGTGTTTAGCTGGGGGCCCGCTTTCTTTCTTTCTTTCTCGTGCCATAGGTGTGCTGACTAACCGGCACTAACGCAAAGTTCTAAGAAAGAATCTGTCACACCCGTAGGCACCCCTAAAAGGCCAGCATCACTCAGTACATCTTGCGCAGCAAGTAGACAAAAGAACCACGCAAAGCAATTTAACAAAACAAAGTTGGGATTTTCTTTGCCCAGATATTGAGTTTTCCAAATCCAATGAACAGCTGACATATATCCTCAATGCGGCTAGAAGCTCTGAATTCTGACGATTTTGCATTGACAAGCATGTTCTCACCAGGCTTGACCTGGACTTCGCTACTACTTAGATACTAAATTAAATTGCATTGCGTGGTTCTTTTGTCTACTTGCTGCGCAAGATGTACTGAGTGATGCTGGCCTTTTAGGGGTGCCTACGAGTGTGACAGATTCTTTCTTAGAACTTTGCGTTAGTGCCGGTTAGTCAGCACACCCATGGCACGAGAAAGAAAGAAAGAAAGCGGGCCCCCAGCTAAACACATCTATTCTGCAGCTGGGCGCTAGGTTTGCGGTAGACTTGCGCTAGTGATTGACTTAGGACATGTTCAGAAGGTCATCAGGTTTTGAAAAGTAGCTGCTAAGAAAAATGCGCGCTAGCCGCGCGCTAGCACTGCGCTAGATCCGCGCTAGCAAACACTGCCAGATGCCAGCATGGGCCCTTCCAAAGGTGACCTCCAACAAGTCTTTTGTTTCAAGCATGGCTTGAAATTCGGAGATCAGCTGAAAACGGTGCAGCGCTAGTGACGCCTCTTACAATTTGGTGCCAATACTTGTTTGGTCCATGTTTCCTTCATTAACCAGCTGTGTGTGTCAAAAGTAAAGAATATATAGCGGGCCCCCATGTGAACACGACTTTCAGCCATTTTTGGAAGGAGACACTTCGACCAGATCCCGACTGAGTATGTTATTCCCAGAGATAGCTGGAACCTATAGGCCTGTAGGGACTTTTCTCAGAAAAGGCCCTGGTCACACTGGAACCAGGTTTTTATTGCAACTTTTCACCTCGCCCTGGAACGTTGGGACTCCGGAATGCTGTGACTCCGGAACCGTTTTGTTGTTGCAACATGTCGACCTGGAATTCTGGAACCTTCGAACCCTGAAAGCTTGTGCCCGAAAATAGAAACTCTGGAGTGAGGCCCTTCTTGCAACTTCTTGTCTAGTCTTGAACATTCTGATTGCAACTTTTCGTCCGGAAGCTGCTATATTTTCAAACCGCACTTTTTGGCATTCTGGAACTCCCTGTTGAGCCCTACTTG